CCACCTGTTACGATCAGCTGTTCCACTGTGTGCAGGAGATGCTACAAGGGAGGGGTAGGAGCGGGGAGGGAGTGTGCTCACAAGAGGAGGTGGGGAAGAGGCAGGGTGGGGATGGAGTGGGAGCAGGAAGAGTTGGGCTGGGGTATGGCATTGGGGGAAGGGGTGGAGTCGGGGTGGGACGTGGTCTTGAGCACCCCTAGGGACAATTAGAGACCGGCACCTGTCACTAGAAACATGCCAGATCCCCACACATGGAAAGGAGGGATCCTGAATCTTACACACTGGAGTCCAGCACTCAGAGACCATGGTGAATCTCGGCGTGTGTATTGCTGACATGTGAATAACTATTATTCTTTGCAGAGTCACAGACACAGAGATATGAGAGATGGAAAAGCCCCATTAGCTCAGGAAATCCATGACCCTGGGGCCAGGGCAGGGCCTTTCTTCCCCATATTTGCAAAATCTCTTCTCTGGAATCCCATGTGTGTGTTAGAGGGGACTGAAATTCTTTTGTCTCTCTCTCTCTTCTAGGATATCAGAAGCACCTTGATCAGGTATGTGGCTGTCTCTGTCTCTCTCTCGCGCGCGCTTCATAATGCTGAAAAAGAGCTTGGTGGTGATGTTTGCGCTGCATCTCCCCAGGGCTCTACAGTAGAATGTGTGGGGAAGGTCTCATGTTGGATACGAATCTCTCTGATCAACTTCATCCTGAGGTTCTCACAATTGTATAGCAGATGCTGGAATTCTCCATTCAGTGGGAAAGACTGACCAAGTATTTCCTACAGATGTCAGATCCCTGGGGGACTGGCTGCCTCGGGATTGTGGGGATGGAATATGGGCCTGTCACAGCTGGGGCACTCGTCACTATTCAGCCCAGGGCAGCAGCAACCAAGAATCTTTCCCACCTGAGGGCTGTTTGGAGACCTGTGTGGAATGAGCTGGGAAGGGAGGAGGTGGTGTCTCAGTCTAGCTCCTAGTGGTCAGATTTCTACAGCACTTCACCGGGGAACCACCTGTCCCTCAGAGCATGGAGGCCAAGGAGTGAATTGGCCACAGAGACTCAATTCCCTTTTTGTCCCCAGAGCTGATCTCTCCAGACCAGAGTTGAAGAATATTAATGAGTCCTTTGAAGGGAAGGCTGTGTTGCACCTGCTCTGAGGCTGGAGAAGTCGAGGAATTCTAACTCCAGGCCCATTAGAGCAGTGACTCACTAGCCAGAACTTATAATGAGTCAGACAATGAAATATAATCATGTGAAATTGTTTCTCTCCAGGTGTGAGAAGGGGAAGTTCCAGCAGCCAGAGGAGATTTCTCCTGAACTGGAAGAGCGAGTCAGTGGTTTCTCTCAAAAAATGATTGTGCTATTGGAGATTCTGGGGAAGTTCAAAGGTACCTAGAAGGGATCTAGGAATGGAAATTGGGATGAGCCTCTGAGACTGAGGAAGGAGAGTGGCTCTGGCCAATTGGTTCACAATTAGATGATGCTTCTATTTCATTGTTGGGTGAGAATGTCACGCACTTGGGGTCCAAGTCACTCAGTTTGATTAATTTAAACGTTTATTTCTACCCAAAATATGTCTTGCTATGACAATTACTGTTAAAGAAAGAAATGACTCAGACTCACCGACTTTAAGGCCAAAAGGGACCATCATGATCATCCAGTCTGACCTCCTGCACATTGCAAGCCACAGAACCTCACCCACCCACTCCTGCAATTTACCCCAACCTCTGGCTGAGTTACTGGAGTCCTCAAATCATGAGTTAAAGACTTCAAGTTACAGAGAATCCACCATTGACACTAGTTTAAATCTGCAAATCACCCATGCCCCACGCTGCAGAGGAAGGCAGAAAACCCCCCAGACTCTCTGCCAATCTGACCTGGGGGAAAATTCCTTCCTGACCCCAAATATGTTGGTGAGTTGAATACCGAGCATTTTGGCAAGACCCAACAGCGAGATATACGGCAAAGAATTCTCTATAATTAAAGAGCCCTGCCCATCTACTGCTACATCACCAGCCATGGGGCACATTTCTCAAAAGCGGACCCAGCCCATCACTGGGCTCTGGTCCCATACAGCAGCTAGCCATGGCCAAATGGGCTGTAGGGAAGGAAAAAGCCCTGTCTCCATGGTCAGAGATCCCTCCAGCACAGGCGCCTCTGGTGCCTCCTCCACAGCAGATGCAGGCACAAGGCATGTTCCTGAGAGGGCTGGGAATGGGGTGGGGTTAGTGAGGGTGGGTGGAAGAGGGAGGGGGTGGACGAGGGACAGAGGGACGTGGGCAGTGTAAACCTGGGCCTCTGACACTGCACACTGGGCAAGACAGATGGGGGCCATTGTCATAGGGATGTAACTCTGGCTGGCTTCAGAACTTCCTCAGCCTGTGCCAAGGTCTGCACCAGCCCCTGCAGCCACTGAACAGCAGAGTCACCCCTCTCCTGCTGGTACAGGGGTGAATCTGTCCCATTGAATCAACCTTCCCCCACCTCAATTTCCACATTTATAAAATGGTTTTACTATTATTTCTATTTCTGCCTATGGAGGATGAGGCCCCGTCGTGCTGCTCTCTGTAGAGACGCTGAGTAAACAGACCCAACAGCTCACAGTTAGAGCCACGATTTAGGAAATTCTCAACATCCCGTTAGTGTCAAAGGGACCCAAGTGGGTAAAGTTACTTTTATGCCAAAGTCTTTGCAGGCTCTGGGTCTAGGTTACGGCAAAAGGCAGTAAGTGAACGAGATGAACCAACTGGATTTTGAAGGGTGGGAGGGGATGAGGAGGCAAAATATAAATCTCACTTACAGATTGTCTGTCCTGGGATGGTTGTGAGACCGCAAGGATGTTGGTTCCCTTGCTCGGAGATGCCTGAATAATATAAAAAGCTCTTTCCTCTCTCAAATATCTGAGTGTTTCTTGGTGTATTTCTCTGTAATAATTAAAAGACAGTTCTAGGAGTTGAGAGTGGGGACGCTGTTATAAATATGAAAGCCTGAAATCTCATCTCCTTTCTCCTTCCCCCTCCAGACACTCTGCCGTCTGCAGTAGAGACAAAAAGAGGAGGATCCCTAGGAACATTCAGACAGGGTGAGATTGCAGCTGGAGATTGTCTTTAAATTATCAGAAAATGTCTTCATGAGATTGTAGCTAAAGTAGGGTTACCATTTGTCCGGATTTTCCCGGACATGTCCGGCTTTTTGTGTTAAAAATAGCGTCCGGGGGGAAATTTGTAAATAACTTAAAATGTCCAGGATTTCCCCCCCACATTCAGAGTCACATTTCCTGCAGGGCTGCAGGAAATTCAGCCACTCGCATGGGGCTCCGGCAGCCAGAGCCCTTCCCCCGCAGCTTCAGATCATTGGCTGGGCTGGACTCTGGCAGCTGTACAGCTACTCCT